ACCAACTTTGTATCACATCAATTTTTTTAAGGCACTCTTTATGGAAATAAATGCATCCGAATTTGCTTTAGGTGCAATATTGTCACAAATGGGAATAGATGACAAAATCCATCTAATAGCTTTTCATTCCAAGAAATTTTCAGCAGTTGAGATTAACTATGAGATCCACAACAAAGAACTTCTTACAATTGTAGATTCATTTTAAGAATGGCATCACTATCTAGAAGGTGCTTCAAGTCCACTCATAATATATACAGATCAAGGATCTCGAGTACTTCATGTTGGCATGCATTTTGAACCCTTGCCAAGGCCAATAGAGCATGTCATTATCAAGATTTGATTTCAAGATCACATATCGACTTAGTAAACAATAAGTTTTATCATATATTTTTTTTAGATGCTCTTATCTTACACCAAAAGAAAAAGACATATCTTTTAATCAACAAAGAAAAATCTTCTTGAAATTAGAGCATTTTCATCTTTGAGCAATGAAATCAACATTGATTGTTGATTTGACCTTTATCAAATAAATTCAATCAATTATGCCTTCTAATCCTCTAGTTCATGATATCAAGAATCTTTCTTCTAAATCTCATGATGTTTCAAAGTTTGAGTTTAAGAACAATCTACTCTATTTCAAAAGATGCATATATATTCCAGAAAGAGAAGCACGTTTATATATTCTTCAAGCACATCAAAACTTTCTAGTAATAGGACATTTTGGATACAAGAAGACTTTAGAAATTATATCTAGAGATTTTTGGTGGCCACAAATGTGGAAGGCGATATAAGACTTTGTCCAGTCATGTAACATTTGTTCAAGATCAAAAACTCCTTGTCATCAAACTTATGGACTTCTCCAATTATTGCATATATTCGAACAATCATGGTCTTCTATTTCTATGGATTTTATCATAGATCTTCTAAGTTCAAGTTTATATAATTTTATATTTATAACCATAAATCACTTCACAAAAATGGCACATTTTGTACCATATATAAAATCTATTTCATGTGAAGAAATAGCTAAGCTTTTTATTGAAATATCTATCGCTATTATGGATTGTGAAAGTATATTATATCAGATAGGGAAACTCAATTTGTATTAAGATCTTAAAAAATCCTATTCAAGTTTCTAAAAGTGGATATAAAATTCCTTTCAACTTTCTATTCTCAAACTGATGGACAAACGGAACAAATGAATCAAGTTTTAGAGCAATACTTGAGGTGTACCATCAATTATCATTAAGATGATTATACAACTCTTTTACCATTGGCAAAGTTTATATATAATAATTCAATATGTTCTTCTGCTCAACAAATACCTTTCTTTGTCAATTATGATTATCATCCACAACTTAATACTTTTGACTTTTCAAAAATTGATAATCCTATAATAGAAGAATTAGCAAATTGTTTGTCAAAGCTACATGTAATAATGAAAGCACAATTAAAAGAAGTTCAAGAATAAAAAAAGACCAACACATATACCTATTCAATGTGGGTGACAAGATATGGCTATTTTGTCGCAATATCAAAACTACTTGTCTTTGTCATAAGTTGGATTATGATAGATTGGAACCTTTTCCTATTTGTGAACAAATCAATCATGTTACTTATTGATTACATCTACTAGAGTCTATGAAGATCCATTCTATATTTCACATGTCTTTTCTTAAGCCATATAAGACAGTGAATATCTTGGGAAGAAGACAAATGCCACATCTTCTTATAGAAGTGGATAATAATCAAGAATTCGAAGTGGAAGAAGTCTTAGATTCAAGGCGCTTCCAAAAAAAGTTGGAATATCTTATTCATTGGCATGGATATGATATTAGCAAATGTACATGGAAGCCAACAAAGAATCTTACAAATGTAACAAAAAGAGTCGAAGCTTTTTATCATCAACATCTATCAAAATTTAGATGAAGAATAGTAAATCTTTGCTATAAAAGAAATAAGATCAAAAAAAGATAATACTCCAACTTCTATCCTTCTTTGTAGCTTTTGTATTTAAAGAGATGGAGAACTAACAATTAGCAGATTTAATTCAAGAGCTTTCATTTGCAGACTTACTAGATGAGATATTATGATTGTCACAACCTTCAAGACAACAAAATTGAGATGAAGATCCTCAAGAATAACATGTCCTTTGAATAAATGGCAAGATACAATATGTTTGATATCACGACTTTGAAAGAGACTTTCAATATTTGGTGATTTTATTAGAGGTAGAAACAACTTTTGATGATGTTTCAAATATTTTATTTGAAGGAAGTTACGAAGGCCTCAACTATGATCAAATAACAAAGTGGTCTTCTTGTCCTAGTAGAGGATACTATTGATGGCTCAAAAGGCCTATCAACCCTCTTCAAAGAGAACAAAGATCGAGGTATGTGGCAAATATAATTTGCCATATCTTAGATTTTTTAAACATATGAAGATCACTTCTTGTAGATTTCGTTCCTAGAAAAGGGACTAATATCATGGACATATATAGATATTCTAATAAATACCTATATGATTAGGTAGGAGTAGGTGAAAGTAAATAAAAATAGGTTAATTTCATAAGACCTTCTAGAGAAGCTTCTTAAAAACTCCATAGATGCTTCTTTGACTTTACATGTCTTTATAATTGATTGGTAGATTAAAAACTTGGTCAACAAATTAATCATATTATCAAAGTAGAGAAAATTTTACATGAATTATTTATGTACTTTTTCATATCTCTCAATAAGATTATTTAAATACATTCAAATTTTACATGAATTATTTATGTACTTCTAACAACTATTACAACAAATTTCAATTACAAATTAATTGTAGATCTTAAGATATTACCAAAACTCTAATAGTAGCTTCAAATCCTAGTTTTTATACACCTATGTGTAATTTTCTTCATAATTCACAAACTAAGTACTTAAATGCCACAAAATTTATATATATAGCTTTATAAGACATTAATCTATCTTTTTCAAAAGATTTGAGCTAAAAATTCGTCTAAAAACTTAAGATATGGCTCTAATCATTACTATGAATAAAATCACTCACTTATTGCCTTTGATTTGAATGTATTGACTTCAACTCTCTATAACTTCTTTATTTAAACTCCAAATGTAATAATTATCTCATAAAAGATAAAAGTTATGAAATTTCTTTTCTAAATGCATCTTTTGATTTCCAAAAACTATTATAAAATCCCTTGTATACTCAAAAGAGCAATAATATATCTTAAAATAATATCTTAACTTCAAACGGCTATAACTTCTTTATCCTAATTCCAAACTTATTAAATTTTGCACCCAAATTATAGTCCAAATCCTAAACCTTACAATCTTAGCTTTTGATTCCCAAATGTTCCTTTGAAGTTGCCAAAAACTCTTCTTATGATAACAAACCGCCTCCTAAAAGCCTATTATGCATGGCTTTTGTTCAATAGAGATGAAGATCCCCATTCCTTACTTTCATCCGACCATGCCTTCCTTTCATTCCTCCCAATAAGCCTCCTATTAGTTTAGATTTTCATCTTTAGGCTCTAATGTCCTCTCAAGGCTTCATACTAAACATTTAGATCTTATAATTTTTTTTAATGCTATAATCAAAATAGATAAAACTCAAAATAAAGTCTCTTATATCCATTTTTTTAAAATTAATCTATTAACCATTCTAACACACACCAAGACTTATGAATATATTATATGTTCTAACTAATTTTTACATACTATAAGTAATTACAATACGATAATGTGTTGATAGCTTACGAAATAAGCTAACTATGTGGCACACATATAGAAACTTGCCTTGTAAGTTATGATATGTATCTTACAAAGTCAATACGTTTTGGAGGTCCTATAGGACATTGCCATGTAACTCCTAGTTAAGAACATATATGGAAGCAAAAGTGAAGCCTTTTTTATTCTTGTCAATATCTTTTTAGTCCTTAGTCTTGTTCTAAGACTTTCTAGTTTTTTTGTTTTTGGCAATAACCATTCTAGTTCAATATTATATATCATTTTTGAGTGACTTTTTAGTTCCTTTCAATGATACAAGAGTGTATTAAGGATTTTATTTCCTTGAGATTCATGTCCTTGACAATATAGTACAAAGCCATCACAATGAATATATGGCGGCAAAGATTCAATATAAATATTGACACTTTATGTCTCATTTTTATTTGCACGCATCAGTCTATTCTTCAAAGATTTTGGTCATACCCGTGAGCTACTCAAATATGGCACTAGTATACTAATCTCATTTAAGTCATCTATGCTAAATCAAATTAATATACTTATTCAGCTGACTTAGGTCTAATGTATTTTTTTCCAAAATTTTTCTAATTGATTTAGCAAATTTGGTACAATGTGGTCACTTTTACTTTGACTTGCAATATGAGAAATATGGCTTGAATGCAATGAAAGTTTTTTCATTTGTCCCAATAAAAAAGGAAAAAAAAAAAAAAAAAACCAAAAAAAACCAAAAAACCAAAAAACCAAAAAAGAATTGAGAAACAAATGAGTGAAAATTAATGTGGAATTTATTGAGGAAGATTAAAAAAAACATAATTTTAAAAATACATTCATTGAAGGCAAGAACCTTAAAGTTGAACTCGAACTAATAAAACAAAAGGGGGATTCACACACACACACATAGAGAGAGAGAGAGGGGACAACGATGAAGGATTGTGATAGGGTAGATTTCCAAGGAGGAAGTGGAGCAGGGGGGATCTCAAAGTCAAGGGATGGGTGGGGGGAGCAGGTTTCAAAAGAGCATCATGGATGCAGCAGCAGGCGCGGGGGGGCACCTGACGACCAATTATCGTCGTCGTCGAAGGGTCCCCAGAGCGCCATGCCCATTCAATTACGAAACCCGGGTAGTAGGGCAGGCAGGGCTCAAAGCTAACGTGCTCCTACTGCACCACCACCGGGGGATTTGTCGACGGACGAGTCAGCAATAGAGGGTGGGGAAGGCTCAAGGAAAGAGGGGGCTGATGCGCGTGATGAATGGCCCAGGCAGAAGATAGAATCACGGGTCGGAGCCTGCACAAACTCACCGCCGCTCCGTTGGGGTCGTCGTCGTCACACCAGGCCGTTACTGTGGGTCAAGTGGTGCGTTCCGAAGGAGAAGGAGGAGAAGGATGCCTTTCAGTGGTTGCTAGGTTGGATTACAAAGCCATCGTGTCGTCAAGTGGCTAAGGTGGTGGTAGTGGTGGTTGGACGTAGAGGATGTGGGTTGGAGTCCTGAGACCTGCAGTATGAATCTGCCGACTTTCTCCTCATCTATTGAAGTACACACACACACACACAAGAGGCACAAACTCACACAGTAATAGCAGCCAACAAGGTGCTACTTAAATCAATGATCTAAATCTGAAGTTTAGTTAATGTGGCCACAGGCTCACCCAGCTGCTCGTATCGCCCAACCCCTTGTCAATGGTCAACTGGAAGCTGGGTATTGCGCGAGTGCATTATGTAACTCTGTTGGCTGATCGTGACACATGAACCGCCACAAGAAGTGAGAGAATGCAGAGAAAGAAAGTCCTGGCAAGACGAGCCTTCTGGGTGGGTGGGTGGCTGGCTGGGTTGCCATCCTGTGCAGCCCAGTTTCCTTGCCCTTCCCCTGCGCTTGCCTTGTGGCCGGTGGGCCTGGTGGGACAGGAGTACTATAATTACCCATTTGCCTACGTCTTTTCGCACTCACCGGGTATTCGTGCCCACCTGGTGTGGCTCTTTCCTCCTTCACTTTCGCTCCTACACCTTGCATTGTCCTTCTGCACCTGTGGTGCACCACGACACAAGTGCCTGGGAGGTTTCGCCACCCCTCACCGAGCTCGTGCCGCTGGGGTTGGCTGGCTTTGACGCTACATCTCCACAAGGAGCGGCACCGCAACACGAGCTAGGGTGGTGTTGTGACTTGAGAGCTGAGAGCCGCATCGTGTTGTATGTCTCTTTCGAACGTGGAGTGGGTTGCGTGATGTTTTCGCCACCAGTTGTGGCGAAGGTGAAGTTCTTCAGAGCCGTTGATTTTGCCTTACTTGCGGATGCCTTTTTTTTCCCCTGGTGGTGATGTAGATGCATCTATTGTGTAGTCCTACCTGTGATGTTGAGTGGGGTAGTGTCACATAAATCATTTAAAGTTTTTCGTAGTTATTCCAGTGTTTTGTGAGTGTGCTCGAGTTAAGCATACAAGGTTGGGGATATCCTAGAGTTTCGTGAACTTTATCGAAGTATCATCTCACCGACTCGAAACTGAACATGACATCAATACGGTACCAATGAACGGGCCATATTGATTCCTGATCGGACGGCGGAAGTTCTGGATCACAAATTTGCTCAATGCTCTCTGGAGCTTCTGTGCCGTTGCTTTGGGGAGTGTGGGTTTGTCCCCCTGGACAGGTCTGCAGAACCTGACGGCCTTGGCCCTGATCTGCATCCCTCTCTTAATTGAACCTCAGAAGCTTCATAGGACATTGACTTGATTTGTGACCCTGTGATGAAGAAAATGCGGTCCCATTGCGATGGGTATTAACAATGATCCTCATCGTTCAACCTAGTGTTCCCGACGGTGAGCAACGTCAATCCACTATCTAGATAGAAGTCTACCTCATCGTGTTGCTGCCAAGGGTCTAGTTGATATCTACCTGGTTTGCATATACTACCTACACTTATCTCTCAGTGATTTGGAATTTTGGAGCTCTGTATACATGATTAACCCCATCTTCATAGGGTGACCCAGAGGCATCTATTTATAGACGCAGTTGGTGCTCTTTCAATTCTGGAGCGGGTTGGCCACATGGCACTGTTTGCATTTTCTTTTTCGTTCATGTGAACATTTGGGAAGGGTGTTGCAATCGGCGTATGAAGTAGTCCTTATGCAATAATATGGAAGTGTTTTTAGAGTGGTATGATCTGTGTGACACATTGGTTTGCTCCTCTATGCAGTGAATGGTAGCCATGATCTTCAGTGATCTATGCTGCATGAATTGAACTTTATCGCGCTACGCAAGCCTAGCCACTAACCGCAGTCGCGATGTTATGGTTAATCCTGAAGTGTAGGTATATATTGTACGCAATGTATGTGACCCTATCCTCTGCTTGGTGCGTTTTCCCTTGTCTTTGGGGGGCAGTATACTATGCTGCGGGGGGTACAGCTGCAGGAATGATAGGCGAGGGGCCAAACTTAGTCCCCCAAATCTGAAATTTTACTAAGTGCGACTTGGTGTACACGTGATTTCCATAGGAGGTCATGTTCTCAACTAACAGCCTCGATACTGGTTTGAATTTCATGGTTGGTGTCTTTCGCAGGCGATTCGGTGGTAATCTTTGACAGTGGTGTTCACCTCAAGATCCACGATTTCGTCTGATCATGACGTAGTCGGACTCCTTACAGACTGCAGTCGTGTGAGTGACCTCCTGCTGTGAAAGGAGCAGTGGGGATCGAAAATGGGCGTAGGAAATGATGTTATTCGACGGTATGAATGCAACACTTATTCCTCTGTGCATGTGAGTGCGCATATATAAATATTCGCAGTCATTACCAACCTTTGTATATGCAATGTTTTGTAAGATATTTTTAAAGCCGCAGTTGTTATTTTATGGTTTCATACATGCAATCAGTGTACTTAGCCGATACCAGCAGTCCACTACTGGCGTATGATTTCTCTGCAATTCCCGACATCGTTGGGCCCGTATCAGTGAATTAAAGGCCATTGCGAACAGTGTACTATCCTCACTCAACTGTACTTACCATCATGCAGCCTCACATGAGTAGAAGAAGAATCCTGACCTACAGCTCTTATCGAATGTGTACTTCATTGCATTTCACATTCCTATCCTACCTACCTCTAACCCTCACCGTGATGTAGTTATAACCACAGGCTTCACAGCTCCTGCAGCTGTCCTCGGCAGGGACGTTACAGCTGGGGGGATTGGCCGTTTAGTGTAGGATGATATCCTCATGATAGCCCTTTCATCAGGCGTTGTAACCTGTACAAGAACAGAATGTCGCGTAGTCTTTCGCATATTTAGAGAATAGTTCTTAACGATTTATATTTACAGGCAGCTGCCAATACTATCGCGCATTTCGTCTCTTTGCTAGTGGTATAGGACTCGCCTACACAGCGTGGTCCCCACTAACAGGCCGTGCATGAAGTCTGCGTATTCAGGTGAAGGTTGCTGTCTTTCTTGAACATGCATTTCTATTCCAACATGGGAAAGACTGCAAACTCCACCAGTGAACAATACAAAGTGGCAAGCAGTAACATCGTCGTGGACTCATCTGTTCCCGTTCTGCCTCGACCTTTGGATCCATTGCACCGGGCTCCTCCCAACCAAATCCAATCCTCTGCTGATAACGCACCAGCCTCGCAATCATTCTACCACCGAAGGCACAGTTCTAATAAGAGCAAGCAATGGACTGTTACTTTGGTCGCAGACAGTGTGACATGGTGATCAGGTGCAGACTGCGTTGCACAATTAAAACAGACTGTTTGGCTTCATGATGCACTGGAATTAAATAACTGCCCTGGCTCGAACCCATTTCATTACCCCAATACTACCGATTCAATGAAGACAGTACACTATTAGCGACGCGGAATCACGAACCCAATCGGCGCCGTCAGCTGCAAATGCATGGGATAGGACTGGACACGGCTCTCCTTCGAGTGCCCGAAGCGTGTGAAACTCTACATCTAGATGAGCGTCGATCATTCCAGAGTGTCGATGCCCTGCTCTGATTACGCCGCATTACTGCCTGATTGTGTTACAATCGATCCACCGACTCATTGATCAACCTATTCAATTCATCTAGAATTGTAGCATTGTATAGTTATTTCAGGCGATGTGCATGGTAGGAGTTTAAACTTACAAAAACTTGCTGATGATGTGTATGTTGCAAAGGATCAGGTTGGTTGTTTTTAAACAAGTGCGTAACGGTATGTGTCGGTTCATGTTTGGTCTTAAACATGAAAGTTTGGTGGTTTGTTTCAATAGTGTGGACTAGAATGGTGAACTGTTCTACAAATGTAAGAAAGGCATCTTTTAGAAACGAGATCAATTTGGAAGTGCTTAGAATTCTGTCCACTCAGAAAAAAATGCTTGTTTGGCGAATCTCATTCTTTAAGGAAGAATCGGTTGCAATAGTTGATAATACTCTGGCCTTTTTTCTTTTGTCTTTTTCTTTCAGTTAAATAATTGATTTTTTTTGAATGTAACAGATTGTAATATATCAAAAACATCCTTCATATAAGATATATATGAGATACATATCTATTCATATTACAAGTATTACAAGTATAATAGTTTTTATTATTAATTTATTAAGTATCTTTACAAGTAAATGTCTTAAGAGTGGTATTGCACCGTATTACACAAGCAATTATTTTTTAAGTGATAAAAGGATTTAAAAAATCATAAAACAAGTTTATCAACAAAACAATATATATATTATATTAATTTTACTTCTTCAAATTGTAAACTTGTGCACAAATAAATAGTATATAGTTGGATCATTGTGTTTGTTATCACTAAGATTTTGAAGCTTTTTGTGCATTTTCAAAAAAGAAAAGAATAGAAAATAAAGATAGGAAAAAAATTAACATCAATAGCAACAATTTATATTTACAATACATTCTAAACTCTTTGTATACACCAAGTTTTAAGTTGGAGTCTATCCACATCAGTTTAAACTTGATACAACTGGTTTAACAAAGAATATAAGTGCATCCTCAATAACTGAGTAAAAACGTAACAAACACAAGCAAGAAAAAAAAAAAAAAAAAAAAACCAACTTAAAATTCTTCAACTAAAGCATCTGTTTAAAAGTTGATCTGAACATCTTAAAACTAAGTTAAATTCATCAGAAGTTCATTCTATCCTGTTACAAAATTTTAAAATTGCACAAGTTTGATGTCAAAAATTAATTGTACGATATTAGTTATCAAAGAGCGAATTGCTTTCAACTGATATGGCCATAAGTTATTTAATGATTTATTGATTTATTTATTCAATGTTTGATAAGTTATTTATTGAGTTTTGATTGTATTATAACTTGGATCAATGCTTTAGCGAACTCTTAGTTTCATTCGCTTTCATCCAAGTTTAAGATTCATCAACAGAACAGATTCACATTCTCCATATTTCATCCAACTTGGAAGGGTGACGGCATTCATCCAAAACAGAACTGAACCCATCAGGAAGAGCTCCACGTGGCCAGTAAGGTGTCTCTGTTCACACGGGACCGCATGCGGTACTCGGTACCGCTATATTTTCTCTGTTCACACGGGGCTGGATGAGCTACTCGGTACCATTAAATTATCTCTGCTCACACGGGAGCCGTCAGCTCTCTCAAGCGCGGTGCGAGCCAACCGCACCGGGAGCTTGTCGGTGCTGATGATGCTTGAGTCTCGGATTTTGCTCATGGCCAAGGCTCATGGAAATCGAGCTCCCACACAGATTGAGTGAGTGAGAAGAGTACTTTAGGGTAGTGCAACCGCACCCAATTCGCGGCATCGTTTTTGACGAAGGAGTGCATGAAAGGGGGTGATTACGTTGGCAGCGAACGCATCGCCTTCTGATGATTAGCTTACGGACAGCCTCATCATGGCACTGGCAGCAATGATCAGCACTCGTATCGTTGACAAACTCGTCTTTTCTGCAATCAGCTCCTCATAAAATCCAACTACTCGATAGTTCGGGCAGGATCGTGAATGAGGTGTTAGCCTCGGTCGTTGCAATCAATCCAGGGAGCGTTTGTTTTTTTTAAACTAGATGTACACATGATTAGCGAATGTGGGTTTACTTGTGTGAGAAACTAGTGCTGATTGGATCTCGTGTAGGCTAAAGAATACGGTGAGACTTGCCGCAATTATTGGTTGTTGTCAGTGCACTACTGCTACCACCTCGAGTCTGCAAATGAATGGTTTGCACATGCATCTCAAGGTAATTGGGTAGGCTTCCGATCTCGCTTCTCACTCGAAGATTTAGGGCATGGTCACTGCTTTTTTCATGAAAATAAAGCACAAGTTCAGTTGATCATGGAAACGCATGTCCAAACGCTTGAATGCCTCCTTGAATGTGAAGCGAGAGCGTGTTAGGATGGCAGAGCATGTTAGGATGGCATAATGCTGCTCTGTAGATTAGGTCCAATACTAGAATCAAGCATTTTACCCAATTGAGTAGAGAAGAGAGACGAGTAATAGCACTGATTCTCACTTCGGGTTTTATTCTTGGTGTCCATGGTGGTTATAGTGGTAATTTTGATGTTTTTCTTTATTCACGGGTGTAGATATGGTGGTTGCTTCTTTGACCTCTGTGTTTATACTCCAAGTTTTCTTGAATTTTTTCTCTAATTGTTTACGAACCAAATCACTTAAGCCCTAAAATATCAGCCATAGGGCACCACAAAGACAGGACCGCACAGCCCGCCGTAGCCATGATGCTCCATGCTGCGCAATTGACGAAAGAGATAGGTAAGAATATTGCACCGATAAGGTGTAGAACTGTTCGTGCATCGGTTTCTAGCGAATAGGCCACATTTGTATGTCACGTTACCAGTTTAAGGCACTGTCGATAAGGAGCAGCCTAATTTCAATCCCTCGAGTTTTCCTGTTATCTAACGCAAGGAAAGCGTCCATTGTTTCTGTTTTTGTCTTGACATAAAGTAAAGCATTCCCGGCTGGTGCGATTTAGAATAAGAGGTTAGGCTTCAGCTTCCGGGTTAGGGTTTAGGATGGCAACCCATGGTTCAAGTTGCATATAGCCGCATGGTACTTCGAAATCACCACTAATTTTACCAACTCTGGATGTGTTTACAGACGATTCCAGAGGGATCTCGATCTTGCCTTGAGAGTGGAAGCCAGAACGAAAAACATCAGAGCCCAGACCAGGTTTAGGGTTTAGGGTTTAAAGACCTGGTGACTTCAGTGCCAGCTTTTAGGTACAAGTTCTAGCAAATCTCAATGTGTTTTGCAGATGCTTTCTATGGATCTAATGTCACATGCCACTGAGTATTCTGAGTCTGCTCCTCATCGATAGTTCTCTTATATCACATTCTCACTGCTTCAGATTGTTAGAAAAGTTGTGTTCTTTCACATATGCTTTTATGTGGGTTGAAAATCCATTATAGAACTGATGTCTTCGAAATCAGACGTCCAAAAGGGTTAAGATATATGGCTTCTGTCGATATGAACTTGAAAGATACTGAGAGATACTTTGGATCCCATGGAGGTGAATTGGAAATGTGAGTTGCTTGAAGACTCTGGATTTAGGTGAGATAGAATTGGTTTGTTACCGAAACTGTCGATCATGGATTCATTTGCTAACAAGATGTGTTCTGTAGAAATGGCAGTCTTACAGATACTAGGTCATGAGATATTGTCACTGTACTTTTAGCCTGAATTTCAGTGCCTTGGTTGTGATGGTATAGCTTCATTGACGCTGTTTCAGTTATTTCTTGTTGGGTGGAACTTCAATGACAACCACAGCTTTCTTTACAATACAGTTCTTTAGTCACACTACATAGCACGGACGTTTGAGTAAAACTGTTGTGGATAACCCTATTTCTTAGGGTGTCTCAAATAAATATACAAGGTTGATACATGGAAAGCAATACCAGTATTTACTATTAGAGTTATTATTGTTTGAAACAATAGAGAGGATTTCTTTACTGATTCAGGATAATATTATCTACATTAGTTGATTGAATTCTAATGTTCAAGCTACCTAGTTGTTTGAAAGCTATGACTCTTTATGAGTTCATGTCAAAGTTCTTTATACTTTTATTATGGTTTATTATATGTTTTAATTTTAATTTTAACTTTTTTAATTAAAAGTCTTTTATTGCAATTGTATATTTTTAGGATATCATTCTTCAAAACAACTTCTATATGAATTAAAGTCTTTTAAGCTTAATTTGTTTTAAAATTATATAATTAATATTTATTATGGTTAAGATTTTAAAAGGTTGTTTGTATATACAACGCTTTTGATAAAAAAGAATAAAAAAAAAATAATATTTTATCTTCTTAGCAAACATATGATTTTAAAATCTATAGATTTTTTATTTTTTTAATTTCCTATTTATAAAGTATGTATTATTTCTTTAAGTAATTAGTTAAAATAAAATTATAGCACTAAAAAATTATCATAATCACTAAAGAATAAGCAGGTCATATATATATATATATATATATATATATATAATTATTTTAGTGCTTATATGTATATCATGGATATATATATATATATATATATATATATATTAGTAATTATTTAGATTAGAAGAGTTATAATAGAAGAAATAAAAGTAAGTAAATTTGATAAACTCTTGTAAAAAAGCTCTTAAAAGCTTCATTGATGCAAATTCGACTTTTAAAGTGTTTGTAGGTGATAGATAAGTTGAAAACTTAGCCAATAAATTGGCCAGGTGTTGTACATGTTGACTACTTGCCTTATAAGTTAGTTACTTGTATAAATTGGCCATATTGTGCTCATGTTGGAAATTTGCCTTGGAAGCTAAATATATATTAAATGTTCTATAGAAAATTCTTACATAGTTTTTTAATTAGATAAAATATATAGAAATAAGAATAAGGTGTTCTTCACTTTTATTAATGTCTTTTTTGTATTCTTGTCTTATTTTTAAAATATTTAGCCTCTTCATATTTGGCAACAATTATTATGGTTTCTATCTTCTATTTATTTTTGATTTCTTTGCTTTCTTTTTTTTGACTGTTAGTAGAATATATTACTTCTTTAGGATTTTTTTTATAATTCATATTTTGATAGTTTGGCAAGAATATTAATTGATTTACTTGTTTTATTTTAGAAGTAAATAGATTATTAAAATTTTTAATTTTATATTTTAAAGATCATATACTATCTACATAAAAAACTAATTATGTTTGTTTTTTTAATATTATTTGTTTTTTTAAAGATAATTGACTACTTCTCTTTGTAGAAATTTCCATTTGATATTAAAGGTTGCAGATTACCTTCTTCAAATTTGACTTGTGAATTTGTTAAAATTGTCTATCATAAAAATAGAAAGAAAATAAATTATTGATACTACA